TTCATTTAATTCAACCGTACCGCTTTTGCCTCAGATTTCACTGACCTTATCCAGGAACATCAGCTGGTGCTAATAAAAACAGGCTTTTTCGAGCTATGGCTGATCCGGATGGCGCGCATGTTCAATCCACAATTTTGTACCATCACACTTTCCGACGGAGAAATCATCTGCAGGGACCAGCTGGAGATCATTTACAATGTAAAATAATTTTGGTTTATTTATTTCAGTTGTCTTTATTATTATTAAATTTATGTGTACCTTTTTTTTAAATTTAGACCGACTTGGTTCGCAGCATTTTTCAGTTCGCATCCGGATTCAATGACCTTCACCTGAACGACGGAGAAATTGGCCTCTTTTGCGCCGTAGTGCTCCTGGCACCTGGTAAGACAGAGTCTAATAAACCTTAGGTAACGAAAATTTCTTTCTTTAAACAAATAGGTCTACTTTAAAGCAGTTTTCACTGAATCTAGGTGCCATTTTTGGACAGAAATTTGCAGATGTTCATATAAATGGAATTTTGTTTTCGTAGTATAAAAGATACGCTGTAATTAGTAACGTCTTCCCTAAGCAGTGTCTTGCAATTATAGTGAACAGTGAGGTTCTGACGGGTGTCAAGTTAACTAACTAACTAGTTAACTAACTAACTAACTAACAGACAAGAAGATGAAATAACTGGAAGGACAGAAATCATCAGGAAAATATACAGATTTTTTGATTGAATGGTTGGAAGAATAGAGCTTCATGGACAGTATCTTCGCTTACTCGACGAAGATATGGACATGCACCACATTTTCAACTGGCTGTGAGGTGGTCTACATCGCGAAACGGAATTCTTTCTAACAGCAGTCGAAAATTGAGCGTTTAATATGATCGAAGGATCCTGTATACGCAGTCGGAAGCATAGTGCAGAATATTTCAGTTGAGAGGTGAGACTGTTATCCGTTTAATTTTCGGCCTCAGCACCATGTCTGATTGAAGTTACGCCAAAAAGCATAGCAGTGTTGCAAGGATGGTCCTTTAGCATTTCTGCAAGCGAGCCATTTTCTCGGCGTCATTGGAATGATGGAAACATCAGCCGCAATGGTAGACTGACTGATTGAATAAAAATATCCCGCGAAGTCCCTGTACGAACTGAGGAAGGAATGTCGTATCATCGCCTGGATATCGTGTTTATAGACAAACCGAGAATGCAGGCACAAATCACTGATGTGGCATGCCCGGCGGTAGGCAACGTTATTGTTGAAGGGAGATGAAAGATGACCGAAATGTCAAGAATTAAGTGTGGGAATACAGTGGTTCTGAAATCTTAAATCGGAGCTCATTCCAGTGATAATCCGTACTTTTCATGAAGTTTGACTAAAAAATAAGTATACATATATATCTTTTATTATTTGAGCAGTAAATATGCAATCAGTCAGTATGGCCGCTGTTCAGTTGGTGACAATATTGTTGAGAATTTCACATCTCAACGTAGCCAACCATCGGTGGTTGGTGATTTCGCCACCTCTTTCTGTTCTGATTCAGAAATGAATTTTTAAGAGGAAGCGTTTACAACCTTAACGATGACGAAACAGCCTTGACCTTTGATGTGCCGTGTTTGTACTACCTTAAGGTTTTAGATCTTGTGATCATGTTTTGACAGCAGCATCTGTAGGAATATGGACAGCGCGGCATGTAGTCTCTTGATAGTGATCCTCATTGATCTACCTCGAATCAATGATCTGTAGCGACATACCTGTTAAATGGATGTATAACTGGTGATAGTTACCTGATAATCGTCATAGTCATTTTGGATATTACTGCCCGGAAATACAATACTTAATTCATTCTTATTTTTTGATCCCGTTAGCCTTGCACTACTGTCATTTTTTGCACTTTATTTATAGCCACTGGTGTTGGATAATTCTACTATGATTAGTTTAAAGGAAACGGCATTTTTAATAACTTTTCAAATTCATGTTGATGCCGGGCCGTAGATAGGTTAAAGCGAATATCTTGCGTTCTATTTGTTGATGACTAATGAGCTATGCTTTTTTCGGTATTCAGTGGTTGTCGATGCTATGTAGGAAGATGCTTCTTTCTACTTTCCCCTATATATAGTAATACAGCATGATGATTATTGCGTAGTATTTATGTAAAGAAATGGACGACACTTTAAAGCTAGAGGATTCATCAGTGTATGAATGAAATGGGGTACCACTGATGTAGTGCAGCCTAGTTCATGTTTTCCAGGTAATGAAGGGTCGTCGTTTGGCGAAGCTCTAACAGTGTGCTACTATTAAATCTGTGCAGATCAGGCGGTTGGTATCCGTACAACTTTTGAGACGCAGCTGCCGTAAACAGTCTACGCTATTATCTTAGCTACAAGACCTTATTTCAGTCCTCAAGATATGGTGGTGGTTCTAATAATAATTGCCCTGTTTGCTTCTAAATATGCGTTGATTGTTGATTGATTATTAACTGTCGAATCGAAAGATGGGTCCCATGCTGTATTTGTTCGTTGTTTAAACTTAGCCGCTAACGAAGTAACCGTATTTCAGATCGAGTCGGCTTGTCGGACGCGAGGGCCGTGGAAGCCCAGCAAGAAAAACTGATCGAAGCGTTGAAGCTTCAGCTTAGCCGAAATCATTCCTCCGACCCGCAGCTGTTCTCAAATCTGATAATGAAGCTTTCAGAGTTGCGAACCGTTGGTAAGTTCAGCTGGAGTGTGAGCTTCTGAGCGCATCTCGTCAGCAGTACCTGATCCGCCCTCTGAGACGCCGGATATTCAATTATAGCATTTCTTAAATGTAATGTATGCTTTCTTCTTACCTTCTTGTTACTTATCTACCTCCCCCATGGGTTAGTCGTTTGCTGTGTAATTCAGCTACAGGCTCTAAGTCATAAATTCAGATCTTCATCGCCAAGATGACAGTGGCGTTGACGATAGTGATCACTGTGTAGATGATGGCTACAACCATTGTGACTCTTGGCATCCATGTTAATAAATTTGGTGAGACGTTGGTGCTAGTGCTAGTATCAGTTGTCATACGGAAGCGTTGGCTGATCACGACGATTACAGTCTCAATGCGACCTTGTTATTTTCATCAAAGAGGTTTTGATGATTTTGATGATAACTAGGTTGATGATGATAATCGAATCAGGTATGTTAATAGTGATACTATAACAATGTTTACTGTAATACGATGCAACATGAGAATGCTATGATAGTCCACTTGAAGTACAACTTATAGATTTTTAATACAGCAGAATCTAAATAAAGTACAATTGCCGACAGTCAAACATGAATTTGAACGGCTGTGCTGGGTTAAGTTCTGTTATCATGAGACCATTTATGCTAAGCGATGACGACGATGATAATCTTTCTGATGACTGACGATACCTCTCTTTATGGTAATCTGCACAAGCCGCATCTACAATGATATGATTATCGTTACAAAAATGGCAAAGGGGATAGTATTGATGGTAACGTAGCGTTTATCTTCGTTGTTATCAATAACTTCTTTGACATAACAGTTTTCACGTTCTTGATCATTTTCGTCAACATTTTCAGCTCCATCATGTTACTTTTGGGATAATCACCGTTGATGATTACGACAACGAATGCAATTCTGCGTGCATTAATAATCACGTTGATGGTGCTTCGTCATCATATCGACTATTGTCATTATTGACATCTTCATCTTCTTCATCGTCCATTGCCGCTTCTCAATTGTGTCGCGGGTGCAGACGCTTCAGACAATGCTTTCAACGTTCCCGATCCTGAGCCAGAGTCTGAGCTTCGACAGAAGACACCTTCCATATATTTGCAGGTTAATCTTGGCCGTCCCCTGGGCGTTCTGCCGGTCGGTTTCACAAGAAACGGTTGCTTAACCTTTCTTTCTGGAGGCATTCCCAACACATGGCCAAAACATCGCAGCTGGGACTTCTCAAACTGGAGAAGCAAAGGCTGTACACCAGGGCTCTTCCGGACGTGACTGTTCTGGACCATGTGAGACGCGTAAGGCCAGCGACTCGTCTAAGAAAGCCTTCTTCAGCAGTGCCCGGGTTCGAAGCTTCTCAGTCATTGTCTACGACTCATGACTGAAGGAAAGCATGGGGATAAAGATCGACATGAACCCCGAGACCTTAGTTTTCAGACTGAGTCTGCATGGTCACAATGGATCGGGCTAGTTCGCGCAGAACGCCACCGGAAATTGGTGATTCCAGTTCGCCGGTCGCTCTATTTCTCAAATTTTCAATCACTACTAAATGCGACTTCGAGGTACCTGAACTAACTTGCTCCACTGCCTCTCCGTTACCACGGGCAGGCACTAC